TGCCCCAGAGGAGATGACCGAGGTAAGTGACCTGCAGGGGGAGAGGGGGCCCAGGCAAGGTAGGAGGGGATGGGAGAACAGGGGGAACCCAGATAGGGCAGGATAGGGACCAGAGGAGGGAAGGGTAGAAAAAGGGGGGGACAGGAAAGAAGGGGGAGGGGGGGAAGGACCAACAGAGCGGGAAAGTGAAGAAGGGGAGGCCACTCCTACACTCCTACATGTTCCCTTGTCCGCTTAGCTGTGCTGTCCTTGTAGGAAGCTGCAATCCTGTGTGATAAAGTGAAGGCAGATAGGCCTTTTAACCCCATGGGAAGTACGTGTAGTTTGTGTGGTGCACAACACAAAGCTTTGTTTAGTTATGGGCCCCTGGGGTGAAGCATTTGGAGAGAAGGGTGGGCCAATGCTCCACTCCACAGTTTAGTGGTTTTCTGGGGAGACATAGATCCAGGCCAGGGTTTTTTGGACCGTCTCCAACCCACTGCTCAGCTGCAGTTAATCAGCTGTTGCAGTGGGAATAAACCCCTCCCTGCTAGGCAGGTAGCAGGGGAGAATTGCTGGCTTCCTCCCAGGAAGCAGGTAGGAGAGAGGCTGTTCTCTCCAGATAGAGAGTCAAGGAGACTAGGCACTGGGAGTGCAGAAAGGAAGCAGTAAAGGCTGGCTTGGAGCACTGGGAGTGCAGGAGGAAGCAGTCAAGGTTGGCTTGGAGCACTGGGAGTGCAGAAAGGAAAGCAGTCAGGGCAAGGCTGGCTTGGAGCACTGGGAGTGGAGAAAGAAAAGCAACAGGCTAGCTAGCAGAGTGTTGCTATCTAATAAGGTTGGTGCAATATGTTTTGTTAGTTTAACCCTGATAGAGAAGGATATTCAAAGTGAGTCAGTGCTCAGACGAGCTAGGTTTTTGTTTAAAGGGAAACCTGTTTTATTTATGTTTTCATTTGCTGCTGCCTCATATGTAAATTTACAAATAAAGTGCCTGGACTGAATTTGCATTAAAAGACTGTGCATGTTTTTGCCCTAGAGGACCGTGCTACCTGCTGACAAGGATCACACCTGGTTGCAATATAATTATAACTCTCATTTTAAAAATGCATTCTGCAACTGAATCAACATTGAGAATATTGCATGTGAATGTATCTGTTATGATATGCTCACTGAGTTGAAGTTCTATAGTTCTTGATCCTAAATAATTTTCCAATTCCATTGATGTAAATTTTGCACTTGAGCTGTCCTCGCAAATGAATTATGAATGGATAACTCCTTTGTTTATTCGAAAGGGACAGATTTCAATAGAGATTCACTTTGGACACAGTTGTCAGGTCTATCTGCATTGGGTCCATTTGAGTTTTGGTGAATGCCAAGTAAAATTTTACAGGTTAAGTTAATTAATGCTGCAATCCCATTTTGGGTTTGACTGTGCCGCCTCATTTTACCTGCTACAGGCGGATGTAATGCCACTAACAGAAGGAAAGACACCATCATCCAAATTACAGGAAGATTTACTATTGATTACTTCCAGGTAACATCTGTCAGCTTCTGAAAATGTCAGTATATAAAAACGATGGGAAAAAAATTCCCACTCACTGCTCTGTGTTGGACCTCCCAGGTGGAAAAAAACCCACTAAAAATACTAGACATGTCGGGCTGCACTCAGGACATGCTAAGCAGCTTTATTGGACAATATACTGGTCAATAAAAGCCAATTTGGCAATCCTTCCGTTCTCACTATGCCATGCAAGATTAATCAGTAAGGGGTGTATTTATATTATTAACGTTCCATAAAAGCATCCTTTGGAGGGCTGTCTACATTAAGAACTCTTTCAGTGTTTAGTTCACATATTTTGTGAACAATATTACTCCAGTTTGCAGAACTGCATATCATGTAAGCCTCTGCTTAGTGCTTCTGTTGTGAATCATGAGTAGACCCTGCAAATGCACATAGCTTACATACTTCCTGATTCCTGGGAATCTGTAGATTTGCAGCAAAAAAAAAGGAATTTGAGCAATGAATAATTTTTTTAATTAATTTCACTTAGAAGGAAGTCAGCTTTTAGAAACGAGGCATTTCTGAGTGAGTTATATTTATAAAATAAATGTTTATGATAGGAGAAAAGAGTTATGGTATAACAGAAATTACCTTATTCATGCCCTCTGTGTATATTTTTGGGACATGGATTGCCTAAACACCATAGGACATAGGATTTATTAGTGGCTGGCATTAAAAAGGTGTTGCATCGGGTAAAATATTCACCAAAATGTAATTTACTTTTGTCCGTATCTGATCATCTGGCAAAGAAAACTCCTTGTATAATTACAGAAATACCCGCACAACCAAAATAAATAAAAAGTCAAATTTTATTTAACCCCTTAACGCCGTTACGGCGCTCTATGCCGTCCTGCATTAAATGGGCTTTAAAGCCGTTGCGGCGGCATAGAACGTCGTAACGGCTTGCAGCCCCAGGAGCCTGCAACTACTCACCTCCACCGCAATCCTCTTCTGGAGGGCTGCCTGACAGCCCAGGCAGCCCTACCCCGGCAAATGAGGCCCCCAGGGGCCATGCGATCACATGGCCCACTATAGCTCGCTGTGGATCTGCCAGCAGGGGGACTGTCTGAAATGTAAAACATTCTATCAGAGTCTGCCATTAGTAAAGTAAGGCATTCCACTGCAGAAAACGGCAGATTTCGCTATATGCCAGTAATACCACGGGTTAGCTAAATATATCCCCTTTTCCAAATAATCAACCCAAGGGACGGACAGTTTGTAAAGTGCTTTATGATGCTGTGCAGTTAATTCCGTGGTAGTAATAATTCATTAAATGTATTTATTAGGTGGAGAAGGGACATGTTCTTCTATGTTTATGACTTGTTTCTGGATCTGAAGTACCAAACATAAAATACGCTCCAATTATCATGTGCTTCCTGGCTTTCTTCACTGACTTAAAACACGGAAATCGAGAACATTGGCCTTAACATTCACATATTGGATTCTGAACATAGGATTTCCATTTAATGCATCCTTTGTAATTCAGCCATAAATGATTAAAGCATGTCCCAATATGACAGAAACTGAAATGTTCAAGGTGCTCAATAGCAAATCAGGCTATTTCCTTTTTCTAAGTTGAAATATGTCCGGCAAATCGGAAGAGTTTTAATAGGTTGTCCATTATGTAGAACTAATCTAGTGTCTTGTTTGTAACATTTAAACAGTTGTTTGTATTTGTGGAATGTAGACAAAGAATGTTTTTTGTAATTTCCAAGTTACTCCACGTCCACAGATATACTCTCTTGCCACCTGCTCTGATTACGGATCCAGTGGTCAGTCATTAGGGAACGTGTTGTCTATTTGTCCCTTTTTTTTTTTTAAATAGACAACCCACGGTATTCAAAATGGGGTATGTCCACTCTTTCTTAGTAGCCACTTAGTCACAAACCCTGGCCATAATTAGCGTTTATATTTGTTTTTTTTGCATTTTTTGCACATAAACTGCCATTTCACTGATGATATCAGTATAATACATTTTACTGCTCTAAAACACTCATTTGTGTAGAGTAATGTCTCACTAGTACAACAGTACCCCTCAAGTACAGGTTTTATGGTGATTTGGCTACCACAAAAGTCTGGACATACCCCATTTTGAATACCCCGGGGTTGTCTACTTTTTCAAATGGTATGTAATGGTAGTGTTAATTTTCATTTCTGGGCTGCCATATCATCTCAAAGGCAACATAGCCAACCAGGCAAATAGCAATTTACAAAAATAGATATTGGCAAATCTTATGTTTGACCCTGTAACTTTCTAAATCACCATAAAACGTCAGTAACTCTTGGTTATAGAGAGGTGCAGAGCTTGTACAAAGGTCACACCTTCTACTTGAAATTATTTATTTTTTCAAAAGCCAAATAATGAATTTTCCTAAATAATAATTCTCATCCGTGACCACAATCAGATAAATATATTGTAAAGGAGAATACAGATGGAAATCACTGAAAAGGGTTATCGGCTGTGATACCGTGGCTGCAATGTATCTCTGAACTGTTTAATTCCACTGTAATAAAGAGCTAAACAAAATGATTCATACATACTCCAAGTGAACCACGGTTCAATAAAAAAACATAAATGTGAAGCCAACGTATAAACCCAAACTGTCGTTGTTTAAACAGCATGCTCATTCGAGCTTAGCAAATGTTAACAAGCGGCTCATTTTCCGATACCGCAGGTTAACGTTTGATGTAAATGTTTACAATACGTGATATCAGCTTTTTTCTATTAACGAATGCTTCAGCAGGGATGAAGAAAAGTAAAATAAATGTGGCTCAACTTCTAGCCGGTCCTCAGCCAATAGGAAGAAGAAAAGGTCCTGAACTGGGACGTCACAAACTAAACAGAAATCCCAGTTACTGGTAAGACTCGACTTAAGCTGGAAAACATATTATTGAATGTTAAGCCTTAACTACTAACTCAAACGTTTTGATTACTAGGTGGCCAAGCAACAAAGCAAATAATCATTTATGTTAAGATTTTTATTATTATGCAACTTTTTTTCCCCCATGGCTATAAAAAAAAAACCCTGCTAATTAAAACCTCTTGAAAGTAGGGGGTCGGGGCCAGACCGCCATGCTGAATGGTCGCACAGATGATCAGCTCCTTCATTTACACTTAAATTAAAAGCTTAACCTGCCTTAATACAGCCTGGAAGAAGTGGTCCTGCATTCACAGAGGTCTGGAACTGAAGCTACATCTTCTCTACAAATTTCAGCCCCTGAAAGGGTGCTACACCTTCGTGGTAGCTGAGGCCTACATAGGGTGGACATGTGGTGGACGGCCACTGCCCCACTATCCTGCCTAGCGGCTACAAGCAAAACCTTTAGTGCAACTTGGTACTGGCCTCATTCACCCCTCCCCCTTTTGGACTGGTGGGGGTGATCCCGGTCCTCACCTTGGGGGCCCTCCTGCAACTTAAGATCTAGCTTTGCTGAGCAGAAGGGGACTCCTCACCCTAAAATGGAAGATGCCTCATGTCACACTGACAGCAATGGAAACTGGGCTGGGATCCCCTGCACCCTAGATCAGATATTTCACGACTTCTGGGACAAACTAGCCCGCCGCCGGCAACAGCCGACTAGGCAAGATAACTATGACCAACCTCTGAAGCACTCACCTCCCACGAAACGGTGGAAAGGGCAAACCCCTAAAGAAGAAGGGGCCAGAGATGACTGGCAGCTGCGGACGCAAGGTACCACATTAGCTACAGCAAGCCACAAGCCTGGAAACCACGGTGAGGGCTGCTCTGCTCGGGCAATAGCCCAGGAGATTCTCCCACAGAGGGAAAGACCCCTACCATCCACACACTGGCCAGTTTCACACCTTGCCAACACGTGTGTCAAAGTGCATGCAGGCAGTCAGCCCAAGACAGGACTGTCCAGTGCCTTTGGAGGGAGTTAGTTGAAGTGTGACTCTAGATACTGCTGGTGTTTATGCCCTCATAGTTTTTATTTACATTTTTGTATTCTTATTCCTCATATCTTTTTTTCTGTAATTTGCAATGCATCACTTTACTACAGTCTACCCTATGTTGATGTGGGGTTTCCATTACCTCTTGCATAAGTGCTGGTGCTCCTGGGGCGGAATTATAAATGCTGAGTAGCTGTACGTTTTTAGCCCAAACTGTTTTACATGCTAAGATATAACCCTTACTGTTCCTGCTAATATTTACTTAAACTTATTGCTCAGCAACTAGCTCTTATAAATCTTTCTTCTAACTTACAAAAAGTTGTGCTGTTTACAAATGTACACATTTACTAACTGAATTATTTACCAATTGTGAAAAGACCAATGTGCCTATGCTGTTCTCATGGATATAAACATGCGCAACAAAAATCAAGAATTTAAAAAAAATAAAAATAAAAAAAACCTCTTGAGACTTGCCTCAATGTCCTAAAGTGTGCTTTATTTTTTGTACATTAAAAGTCATAGGACACATGGTCAGGCAGCCATCTTGGTTTAGGCTGCTGTTTTAACTCATTATTCAATGATATTTCAATGAACTGCTTATTCTGCAGATGCTGTGTAAAGTTTTACTTTGGCCTAGATTATGTTGTTATAACAATGAGAAATTTTGCACCTAGAAACATAGAATGTGACGGCAGATAAGAACCATTCGGCCCATCTAGTCTGCCCAATTTTCTAAATATTATACGAGGAAAACAAAAAGAATTAACCTAGGGCCAAAATTTAGATATCACAAGGTAGAGGGCACAAAAAAGGGGGGTAACCCCTAAATGGTGATTATCATAGGGAATAAACAGAAATTTTACACTTTACCGCTTGACAGCAAGCTTTAATTTATTATCAAAATGCTGCTATGATCTAGGCAGCTTTTATGATATTTAACTGGCTAATCGCCGTCTGTCAGAAATCTGTCTTAGCTGAACTATTGACAGCACTGGTTTAGCAGTTGTCTTATCTCCCCCCCCCTTTTTGCTACAGCTATTAGTGATATATAATATAGTATCACTTCTATTACTTGGGAATACACTGATGTTATATTGTAGCTAAACAGTATTGCTTCAGCATTAGTGTTATTATGTATACACTTTTACAGCTTATATAAGTAGTCACAGAGTTTTACTCGCTGTATAGTCTCCATTTACTCCTGCTGTTCATATTATTTTTCTCTTTTTTATATTCTTATTTTAGATTTATTTATTAAAAGTTACTTTTTAATCTACAGTCTTCTCAGTAAATCATACACAGGTAGAATGGCATTTGTTTCTTTTTCTGTTTATTCCCTACAATTTTCTAAATACTTTCATTAGTCCCTGGCCTTATCGTATAGTTAGGATAGCCTTATGCCTATCCCATGCATGCTTAAACTCCTTTACTGTGTTAACAACAAGGTCTTCTACTACTGTTGTTCAAAGCAAGTCAAATTCAAGATGGCCACAAGTATCCAATAGCATTATGATGTTCCACAATTACATACATTTACATTTATTTAAGTATTAAACTATAATGCAGCTTTTTAAACATTAGATTATTCAATAATTTAAGTGCTAAACGTAACAAGGGGTTCACAGGTTACAAGGATTAACAGCCATTTTGAATTTAAAAAAAAAATGCTTGGCATTCCACAACGGAAGCCGGCCTAGATGCTGTGTGTCAGCCGGATGTATCTGCCGCCATGTCGAGACAACCCTTTTCAGAGGGAAGGCCCTTTTTACCAACCTGCTTCTCAAAACCGTACCTCTCAGTGTTGGGAAATATGCATATATGCAAATTGTCGTACAAAGCTGATTTATTGTTCGTAACATAAATTCAGATTTGTCGAAGAGAAGATAATTGGTCACAAAGTCTGGTGGTCATATTGGACTATGCAAATACTTCCAAACACCTTCTCTGAAACTGTTAGAATGATGAGACATTTGGGACACAATTCTGCAGAAAGTGAGCAAATCAAGATGGCTGCTGCAAATCAATAACTCGAATGCTGTTCAATTGAATACATTTACATTTATTGCATTGCTTAACTATTACAATATACGTGCCAAGTAATATGGAGGAGGGGGTCAAAGGTGAAAAACATCAGTGGTGCTTGATTTTATTGAAACTTCAATACACTTCGATTTGAAATAAATAAAAATGTAAATTTCTGAACATTGGTAATTATAGAGTTATCTTGTGAGCTGTTGCATTTGAAATATAGAGACTATTTGGTGTGGCGTCAGCGTTTGTTCTTCTGCTAATTTTTTACAGAGATGTAGAATTAAAACTGCTTAATAAAAGCATTTTAAAATATATTCAATGCACTGCCGTCCTCAATGCGAATCACATTTGCTATGCTGTGTGAAAGTCTCATTGGATTATGTAACCAATTATACAACATCTTTAGCATATTCTATATCCATCTCTACCTGCAACATATGTGTCGACACTGCATCCTTGCTCTTATGTCTGATTAACACAAGGTGCAACTATATTTATGTATTGGTTTTGTATATTGCCAATAAATAATATATATATGTACAAATCGAGAAATTATTCTGATAATGCATTTAATAATTTTTTTATGCATGTGAATATTATAGTACTCATGTCTGATCAATTTCTTTAGAATTTTGCAAAGATAATATAAATAGATAGACAGACAGACAGACAAGAGATGGACAGCTGGATAGCTGGATAGACGGACTGATAGATAGACGGACGGACAGACAGATTGTTAGACAGACAGACAGGTGGATGGATGGATGGACGGATGGACTGGCGGAAGGACAGACAGACAGACTGATAGATAGACTGATGGACGGACAGACAGACAGATAGAATGCAATTATGCAATATACACCAACAGAACAAATAATGAAAATCTAATCCAGGAGTTTTTAATAAATAAAGTATTAAGCAGTAGAAGTAAGACATAGTAATAGAGAAGATTTAAGATTAGAGGCGGAGAGGAGAATGGAAATTCAGAGAATATAGGTGAGGGAGGGGGGAAAACAGAAAAAAGGGTGGGGGGTCATGAATGCCAAATTTTCTCAAAGTTGAGAAGGGAGTTGTGAATCTCAGCTGTCAGCTCTTCCATGGATCAAGTCATTTTTTGAGGACAAAGTGAAAAATACCAATGTGTATTTATTTATGTTATGACTGCGATCATGGTGGAAACCATTAGAATATACCTTGAATGTACGAACAGTGACCTAAAATAGCACATATCCTACTTAATAATATTAAACACTTAAACATAAAATGAAAAATGAATCGAAGAAACCAAGTTTTATTTATTTATAGTTTTCAAAAAACATTACAGATGTAATCCAGTATATTTTTTTTATATGAATCATTGCGTAAGGCAAAGTTTTTGGAAGAAAATCATTAGTTTGCATTTTTATACACTGAAACAATCTAAACGTGGTCACATTGCATCTCTTCTCCGCTGATCTCTGGATCTTTAAACCCAGATGTTTTTAATGCGTCATCTTTTGCAATCAATTTCCAAATCTATACGACAATAAAATGTTATTTTTTAGCTGCAGAAATGCAGTATGTAGTCTCAAACACGCAGCCAGACCATGCTCAATCTGGGAACTCTGGAATTGGAAACATAATTTCTGGAGTTTCTGTACAGAAAAGGGACCCACAAGATGGGTCACCATCAGGTACATCCCCTACATGTGTAAGAAGCTTTAGCCACCAGGAGCTTGGGTGAACTCAGCTCCTATATGCACAATATATATACATACCAACAGAGTTGTGGTGGGGAAAAAAGTGTGGATGAAGTAAGTGGATAGTTAATGTACTGCTAAACACAAATTCACACACCAGTCAAGCCATAAGACTTGCTTTTCCCACAGAAATCTCACTGAGATATCTCACTACTGCAAGGGATTCTGGGTAGGTATATTCAAATGACCTCAACAAAAATGTGGTTCTTTGATGAGCTCATTTGCATACGCCTATCCTAGAATCCCCTGCGGTAGTGAGAGCACTGTTAAAGTGAGATTTCTGTGGGAAATGCAAGTCTTATGGCTTGACTGGTGTGTGTATTTGTGTTTAGCAATGTATTAACTATCCACAGATTTCAGGTGGAAGGGGTTTTCAATCACAATTTTTTCCCCACCATAACCTTTTTGGTTTTTGATTTATAAATATATAGACCAAAGATCTCCCTCCCTGGGTCTTTGCTAGCTTGCACAGAATTTTGGGGACAGGAAAATCTCAGCCTTCACCACTGCAGAATATTGAAGGGCATACGACCTGGTTCAATTTGCTTCCAAGGATAAAGGCATACAGCCTGTAGCAGTCAGTACCATGGACTGGCCTTGGTTGGATTTTTACTCAGCACCGCTTATACCAGTTGGAGACAGTTTACGGTACATTGTACAGTTGGCAAGTAGAAAGTGACGGACTTAAAGTCGATTTTTCTGTCTATATGGCCTAATTAACTGCCCTTTATGGGGAGGCTTGCATAAGGCCTAGTTTAGCTGCCTACATGGGGAGTATAGTTTAAGGCTGAAATTAGCTGCACCTATGAACGTCAGCCTTAGAAAGTGGGCACCATGAAGCAAACTAGGGACACCTAGCAGCCAGCGGAAGTTGGCTTAAGGCTCAGTGCAGCTGGCATGTAGGCTTGGGATTGGGAATATGCCAGTCCAGCTGTCAAATAAGGGGACAGCTTACATCCTCCTACAGCTGGCATCATAAAGAGGGTGTTAGATTAGTACACACAGAAAATTTCAAAGCAAAGGAGGGCTAACTGGAGACAAAGCACAGCAATCTGCAAAGGTGTGAGAGGTATAATGTTACATCCTTGAGGAGTTTATTATAGTTTGCATACAGTAGGATCTATATTCTGTATTTTTGAAGCAGATTGTGTTCTATATAAACCATGTAAGCTCTAGGCAAGTCATGTTTTAATTGGTGGAAGGAATTATACAGAGGAAGGA